AAAAGCATTTATCTTTACAATCGACTCCTCCCTCACATATTAGTGCCCTTTTCATGCCCTCTCTCTCTCTCTCTCTCCCATCTTTCTATGATGTATACAATGAATGATAGGTTATATGGGAGACAATAAAAGTAAAACATATGACAAAAACATAGAGTGGAGAGAATGGGATGAAAGACATACCAAATCGTCGAAACTGTGATCGCTCTCGAGTTCAATCAAATCAGTGGATCCATCGATAAGGACGGGTCCGCCGCCACGGATTGGGTAATGTGTGAAATCACAAGAAGTGCTTTGTTTTGCCATAAGATGTGATCAAAACAAATATATGTGTATAAAATAGTCGAGTCTTGAGTTCGGCTCAAAAGCAAACAAACGGAGCGATGGATACATGAAGTGATGCAGAGATGCTATGCTATGGCTATACAGAGAGTACAGAGAGTCTGTAGAATTGGAGTATAGCTATAGCTGTAGCGGAGCTGCGCTGCGATTGCAGTGAGAGCTCTGTTTGTATTACTATTTTCTCAATGAGAGAGCTCTCATGGAATTGGTCTCAACTCTCTTATTGGCTCTTCGGTTGTTGTCAAGGCTTGTCTACAATCGACTCTTTCCATAGCATCTCATAATAATGTATAGCATTTCACGCATTCATTTACAAACGCAAGAATTCAATCTAATAATGGCTTTAATTCTTGTTTTATTCATCAAAATTGTAAACCAAAACAACTTATTTGTCAAATATTTATTCCTATAAAACTGATATCTCATCGAAAGATGAAATGTTAACTTTAATCAAAACATTACTTATTTATCGTTTGAATAATTAAAACTTGTCTTTAATTTCATTGCGAAAGTTATGCAAATTCTCGTATTGAAGAAACTTATATTTACTTTTTTGGAAATAGTATTTGCATTTTAATTCAACACATCCTCACTAGTACTATAAATGTGTTGATATTTTAAGCAAAAAGTGTGTTCATTAAATTGAGACACACATAAATTGCTATCACTATTGACTCAAACAAACCCATTACTACCCTTTATGTTTAGCGACACTAACTTTTTTGCTCTCTTCTGCTAATAAATGTGAAACTGTTTGCAGAATATTATACGTGTTTAAGGAAGTCGTCGATAAAACTAAGGCCTTTAAATAGAAAGCACGGCTCATATAAAGCCTTCGACACTTCCTCGCGAATCGCCAAAAATGTTATCAATTTTTCAAAACTTAAGCGTTTTTATTATTTACACACAAAAAAAAGTTTTAGAAATTACAAAAACGATTCAAAAAATATTATTGATTCGCATAAAGAATGACACAAATTGTTGGCAATATTTGGCTCAGAAGTTAGGAGAGGAAAGGGATTATAAATCAAGTTTCAATTCTTGAAAACAGACATATTCTTAAGAAAAGGAATTTCATTGCAAAACATAACAATTGTGTGGAAAAATATTATCAAAAAAGTTTTGGTTAAAAGTATATTCCAATAAAAAATATATAAAAAATGCTTCCGAAGACACTATTTTTTCTTTGTGTAATCGTAGAAACCTTTGCCCGACTTTTTACCGAGATTTCCCTTCGCAACCATACCTTCGAGTAGTTTAGACTTATATATAGTGAGACTCGGGTCACCCCTCGCAGACCAGGCGTCCACTATGAACTTATTGGTGTCGAGTCCGACATAATCTGCGCAAAACAATCAATCATTAATCAAACCATTAGTTTCACAACAAATCAATTATAGTGTCAAATAGTGCTGTAAATCAAACTCAAGAAGACATTACCCATCAGTTCAAAGGGACCTAAGAATTAAAGAAAGAAAAATAAAAATATTTTCATTATTTGATTAACGCATTCATTCAATATTTACCCATAGGATATCCGGCGCCCAATTTCATGGCAATGTCAATGTCTCGAGCGGTGGCGTCTCCTCTCTCCCTATAGTTTAAGGCAATTATAAATACCGTTATCTCTCACTTTAAGCCCCATGGGGTGTTATGTAAGTTTCTTAGAAAGGGTGGGGGCTTATCTAGGTAACACCCCATGCTATTTTGACTCAAAACAGGTCAAATGTTTATCAATGACAATTCATTAATACAGATGACTAAATGTTTTAAATAGAGATTGTTTTAATTGAAATGTATAATTTATCATTGAATTTGATAAATAAATGTAGTCATTGCTATTAATTTGAGATATCAACCCATGGGGTATTATGGCAATTTCTTAGAGGGGGTGGGGTATTACCTAAGTAACACCCCATGCTATTTTGAAGTATACCCGAGTCAGGGACCCCTCATTTAATACCCCATGGGGCCTAAAGTGAGAGAATACGGTACAAACAAAAAACATATTAATGTCATCAAAAAGCTATTACAGGAGTCGGACGGCTTCCAACATATACGGCACCAGTAGTCGGTTCACAATAAATCCCGGCGTATCCTGTGTTTGCAATCAATCAAAAATCAGTCATTTTAATATATTTGGCACTTGTTTTTGAATATCTATGTAGTGATGATAATGAGTGATACCTTACAAGAGACGCCCACTTTGTCAATGTCTTTGACAAACTGCTGAAGAGATTCAAAAGTGTGTTCATTGGTTCCGTCCATCACTTTGATAATCTCTACGAGTTTCATGAGAGGCACCGGATTGAAGAAATGTAGACCTATTGACCAATTAAAGCAGCCATTCATTGACCACATTATTGCAAACTTCACATAAATGTTTGATTAGAAATACCTCCGAATCTGTCTTTGCAATCAACATATTTGCCGATTTCATAGCACGGAAGCGAAGACGTGTTCGTCACAAATATTACAGACTTATTGTGTTTAAAAGTCTCACTAAAATTATATCAATTAAAATTAATGCTTATATTGAATATTATTTGTCTGCTATTCAAAACAAACCACAATTCTTTGAATATTCGCTGCTTTGGTTCCAACAGTTCAGGAATCGCTTCAACGATCAGAAGATTCTCTTCGGAAACCGGTTTCCTTTCAGTCGACAGTGTTATACGTTTGACCACTTCGTCCACGTTATCGATGTTTACTGTAAAAACAAAATTAATTACAAATTAAAAGTATTTATAAATAATTTATTTATATATTTTTTGGGTCACATTATAATGGGTTGTAAACAAGAAAAACCAAAATTAATTATAAATGAATAAAAAGACAAATAGTAATTGAATGGACACGAAATGATTTCAATCTAATCGCTAACTAAACCATAGAGTTCTCACTTCTTAAATAGCATTCAGGTTTGGGTTAATTGAAGTTCAAAACATTTTAACTATTTTTCCCCCAAATTGTGTTTATTATCAAAATGTAAATTCAATTGAAAATGACTCGTCTCTCAACTTATAAACAGGTCATCTCATCCCTGTACTCTCTCTCTCTCTCTCTCTCTCTCTCTCTGATCACAATCGGTGTCATCGACGGTATGCTCGCAATTGTTGATACAATCGTATAACTAATTGAATGGTTTATATAAAACAACAAATTGCATAATAAGGTCGAGAGTTGTGTGCATTAATTGCATGATTAAAATGTGAAATGTTTGTATAAATAAAAAAAAACACATTGAATTGAATACAAACTTCGTTTCTTCTCCTTAAGATTGGTCAGGCTTTGAGTGATGCGAGTCTTGGCTTTGGATAACTGATCCTCAGAGATGTCTTGCAGTGTAATTGAGTTGAATTTATTGGTTGCGGCACACGATTGGGCGATACCTATAATCACATCACACATCACATCAATCAATTCATGTCATGTACGAAGAAGTCAATCAAATACCTGATCCCATAAGACCTGATCCAATGATGAGCACATTCTCGATGCGATTCATTGCCGGCGTTTGGCTGAAGCCTCTGACGAGTAGATGATGTCCGGGAGTAATGTTTGGCACACTTTTAGCACTTCCAGCGATGGCTATAATCGACGGCAATCTCAGTGTTTGTCGTATTAATAGTTTAGACATTATTTTCAATTCAATATTCAAAATGTCTAACAAGAGAGTTGTGTGCATTAATTGCATGATTAAAATGTTTGTATAATTATGAAAACACATTGAATTGAATACAAACTTCGTTTCTTCTCCTTAAGATTGGTTAGACTTTGAGTGATGCGAGTCTTGGCTTTGGATAACTGATCCTCAGAGATGTCTTGCAGTGTAATTGAGTTGAATTTATTGGTCGCGGCACACGATTGGGCGATACCTATCATCACATCACACATCAAATCAATTCATTCATTCATGTCATGTAGGAAGAAGTCAATCAAATACCTGATCCCATAAGACCTGATCCAATGATGAGCACATTCTCGATGCGATTCATTGCCGGCGTTTGGCTGAAGCCTCTGACGAGTAGATGGTGTCCGGGAGTAATGTTTGGCACACTTTTAGCACTTCCAGCGATGGCTATAATCGACGGCAATCTCAGTGTTTGTCGTATTAATAGTTTAGACATTATTTTCAATTCAATATTCAAAATGTCTAACAATTTAATGAGATTTTAATGACTTATAATTGGGAGAAAAAAGTGGGGAAAAAACAAATGTATTGTCAATACTAGTTATGAATGAGATTTCAATGCTTTAATGGCTTAATATTTGGGGCGAAAATAAAGTGATATATAAAGGGATTGAAATACAGACACAAAACTAATTGCCTTTTGGACTCCCGATTGATATGAAAATTAATAATCAAAACAATTAATACATTTATTGCAAAGTTATTGAACTTCAATACTGGAAACCAAAACCCAAATCACTGTTTATAATATGTTTGCAAACTTTTCTCTCTAAACACCATTCAATTCAATGCCAATACATGTGTCGACATCTCTGTCCATGTGTTCAACGTTTCCAAACTTTTTTCTTCGCAAAACTTTTGGCACAAAAAACTTTTCCATCAATTCATCTCTGATTTCGCTTTCATTCAATTTATTTGAATTGATTTTAAACACAAATATGAGTACATATTATCATATGATTTAGTTATCGCGTTATAAGTTCTTCGCATGACTGCCAAACACTGGGAATCAGTACTAATGAGTGCACTATTGGCTCATATTTTTACATTAATTTTGTTCATTATTAGCGGCCGTTAATAGCATTGAAAGGGCTATTGATTATACTATAAGTAAATTAGTTTGTTATGTAAATTGGTGTCCATTTGGGGTCTACTCTACGGCTACAGACAGGGAAGGGAAGAGAATCGGCAAATGAAACCCTAAGGCAAAGGTTTTATTTAAATTTCCTGTAATCCAGAATATGTATGAATTTTGCTTAAATAGTTTGCAATCAAATAAATGATACTGTATTTCAGTAAATGCTTCAGTAATGCATAATTAGTAGTCGTGTTGAAAATGTGGTCAATTCAAGCATTTAGTGAACACATTGAATGATTGAGAAGAAAGTCACTAATTATTGCACACAAACTGTCACTAAATGTGACAAATGAACCCTTTATTGAAGGCTATTATATATAGGGCTAACACTTGTGTACAGTAAGTGTTGACTAAATACAGGCAAATGTGGACAACAGAAAGGGTTAACTCATTCAGTGATTGTCCGCACAATTGACACAACTATTGATTTAATGATGGATTTAATGACATTTTTGAGTGAACGGCAAAAACAATTGTCCGATAATAAGGACCAGAAATGCGTTGAAAGTAATGTCGAGTCGTGTTTAACACCAAATCTATTGAAACCCAAATTAATTGAGTCTTTGATGACAATCGAGAAGACATTGAA